ATACTGTATATATAGTTCCATTTGGTGGCATTAATGGTGCAGAAATTAAATATTCCAACTTTACATTTAAATTACATATAAATACGTTTTCTATGGTGTTTATTCATTTTAGTGTGATTGATTAGAAATGCTTCGCTGTGTCCGAAATTGCATAATGTCTGAGTAGGTAATACTTTACGTTTCGTGAAGAACTAACTTACTGACCATTGAAAAAAGGTTATTTTAATAGTATAAACACTATAGTTCGAATATAATCGAGACATACATTCGCCATATTGTCATTGTCACCAGCTTTAGTTGCGTTGCTTCACTGCCATTCATAACTCCAATCCGGTTTCAAACAATATCATCGGTGTTGCTTATCTTTTCATGTTAGCATTTAATGTAGCTGTAACCTTCCGTGATTTCTTTGTTTTCTTGCAGAGAGTGAAAGAAATACGGACTTTGGGCCTGACCAGGAAGGTATCCCCCTGGTACAAAAATGAAACTCGCAACAGAAATAGTAACTGTGAACATAACTGAACAGTTTTAGAGAGTATTGCACATTTTGTATGGTATTACATACACATTGGGATTATACATACCACCACACAATTAATGTAATTTTGTTGAAAATGACTACAGTCCTCAATTTGTTAGCAAATGGACCTTATACAATAAGTACTGTATGTTTTGAAAACACTATATTTAATTGGAATTTGTCATTATCACTATTACTGATGTGCTAATGAGCGTGCTTCAGGTTTTGTTGCCTCTTTTGTTTTCTTTCAATTATCTTGTTTTTTCTCTCCTCCAGTATCATAAGGTTTTGTTTAATAGCTATAATAGTGTTGTCTTGTTACCAAAAAGTCAGTACCAATACCAGTAAAATTCCAGTTATCTGTACGAATTCCGATACTATAGCACATCTATTGTAACTAATTTATTTAATAATCTTCTTATGTTTTATTTTGAAAGTGGATGTACTTTGAGGGTTCGAATGTTTATGGTGAGAGTTTTTGTATTGTATCTCATGCTGCTCCCTTTTGAATGATTCTCCTTTTTCAATATTACCTTATTTGAAAGATTGGATGGTTATTTTTGTTTTCTTTTTCTTTTGCAATATTTGACCAGTTTAAATAAAACAGGTGTTACAGCTTGTTCAACATCTGTGTTCATGTAAGATAAAAGCAATAATAAAACCTTGCATAATTAAGTGCACCACTGAATTTATTTAATGTTTTTGATCAAACTGGATTAAACAAGGACACAATCTTGAAAATGATTCAAAAGCAGCCCAAGATTAGATGAAAAGTTTATTGTATTTTTGGCCATTGCAGATGTTAAAACTTGCTAAATGGAGGATGTTTTTCTTTCATCGTCTCAGTTTTTCCTGCTTATCCAATGATCTGAAATGAACAAAATGGCACAAGAAACATGAAAAGGAACTAGTATTATAATATACAGTCGTGATCTTTATTGTTTGTTAATTATAAATGTAAAGTTTATTATAATGATGATGAGATCTTATGAATTGCACTTACGCCACTAATCCAGCTGGTGTAGGCAGACACACGGGTGAAGACTGTTGGCTTCTTGGTGGTGTTACAACCCAATGAAGACACAAAGCTGGTCACTCCGTGGACAACGTACTGACCGCTGACCTGACAGTTCAGAGGGCCGCCAGAGTCACCCTAAAAACACCACAAGAGCAGCCAAAATGAGACAGTTTACTGCATTACCAAATACCTTCTCACAAGAAATAGTTCATGATCTGTTTGAGAGTCTTTCGTACATTACATCCAGAGTCGCTTGCGCCACCAGCGCAAACCATGGTGTTCTTCACGGTGCTTCCCCACCAGTCGCTACGAGTGCAGGTACTGTAGTCGACCACGGGCAGATAGGCCTGTTTCAGCTTAGCTGAGAGTGACCCCCCAGCTGCATGAAGATCAGAGGAGAGAAATGAGACAGAAATTATTTCAGGCAACATCATGGCTGATTTGTTGTACTTGAAGCTAAACTGACTGGATGTGAGGCCCCAGCCGGTGATGTAACAGGGGTTGTTGTTGGGCAGAACCTGTCCAGAGGGTGGCAGGGTGGCCAGCTGCACATATGAGTTCAGAGAGGCGCTGGAGGACAGGCGCAGAAGGGCGATATCATATCTGAAATGCACAGAATGGACAGTCTACAAGTTAGATTTCACACATTTATCATGCTAGGGGGCGCTATAACATTAGAAAATCTTTGATACAATCATGTATGTTGTGCTGATGCGTGTAATTGTACATTTATGTTGCATTAACATTAGGTCTAAATGTTGATACAGTCAAGTAAGCGGAAATTTTTTTATTGTAGATATATTGTATATGCTGTGTCAAAGTTATATTGCATGATTGTTGATATATATGATGTTGAAATTAGTGTATTTTATGTGTTAGGAATAATTACTCAGCTGGTCATTGTTCCCAAACAGCAATTTTTAAATATATTTCAAAATATACAAAAATGTATATATATGTATTAAATATTTACAAAAAAAAATATTTTCATAAATATATTTACTATCAGTCTATTTTTTGTACATTTTTGAAAATACATTTTATAAATATAAATAATAAATTTTTAAAGCATTTATTATATATTTTGCCCTATGTATTTCAATACAAGAAAATACCCACATAGGCCACACATTTTACAAGACTCAAAAAAACAAACATGAAACACTTAAATTAAATAATTTAAAAATATATAATTTTTTTTTATCTGTAGCCTATATTATATTAAAGCAGACTAGCAACAAGAACACTGCAACAATATACGTTAATACTACTGAAGAATTCCTCCGAGGTCATATTTCGTTGTATGAAACGAAATAGCCTAGCGCGAAGCGATACAAGAGACATGAAAGTAGCCACGAACAGATACAGTACAAATGTTGCTATGGAGTAATGGTTGCTTGACAGTTATTAATTAGCAAATCTCTGACAGCTGAATTCCACAATTGACCAGTCACAATCAAGCATCGAAGAACTGTCAATATAGTTGAATATGTTGCGTTAAAGTTAAATTGCTGAGGAAGGGAGATATAATAAGGTTGTAATAGTTGTTGATACATTTGTGTGCTGAGTTGTGTCAATATAGTAGCCTGCTTTTTGTGTTCGTTAAAGTTATGTAGCTATAATTGTCCATACAGTCGAGCGTGTTGAGTTAAAGGTGGGGTAAGTGATTTCTGGTAGCCAATGTTGATATTTCAAATCACCAAAACAAACACACCCCTACCCCAAAAGGGCCTCGCCCCTATTTTGATAGTTCCGCCCCACAAATACGTACGCAACCCAGGCAACGATTAGTTCTGTGAAACAAAGCAAAACTCCTTATAATCAGTGATGCTGTCTACACTGGATGCGGCGTGGCGCGACACGACACGACACGACACGACAAATCTGTACTGTACCGTATTGACACAAATTTCAAATGATTTTCAATGGTCGCTTTGTCGCATCCAGTGTAGACAGACTTTAGCTGTTGCGGCGCGGTGCGACTCGACAACTGTCGCGTCTGGTATAGACACGTTGTAAGCCTTCTTTTGTTCCGCAGACGTTTTCCTCTTTTGTTTTTTATCCGCCATCTCTATCTTTCTGTCCTTGCTCGGCTCGGCTAATGACCGTCCTGTGCACTGAACGCTCTCTCCTCAGCATCATGAGAAGACACGCCCCTTACTGCTGATAGGCTACACGTTTGTTTTGGTACTCCGCCCGACTTTTCTGAAGCGTTTTTGAAAAAATACATACCCCACCTTTAAAGTTATACGTGTAATTATATATTGAGTATAATTGTCGCCACAGTCATGTATGTTGTGTAAGTAATGTTTACATACCCAGAAGCCACATTGTTGCTGTTCCAGTTAGGGTGGACGTAGACGTTGCTGACGCTCATGTACTGCTCGCGACCCTCCTGGGAGTAGATGTCGTGGTCACCCAGGACAACACGCCAAGTTCTCGAGCTGCACAGGAAACACATTTAAGTAAACAAGGGTAATGTTAGGAAACAAGCGTACACTTGACTGCGACAATCATATGAAAGTGAGAAGGAACTTTATACTGTATGTGATCTCTCAGATTTTTCAGATGTGTTTGTTGTTTTTTAACAATCTAGATACAGAAAGCTTTCATTACGTGTCAACGCAGTGGGCAGCAGTCATCACCCAATTAGCTCTGATCAGAGTCCCACCACAGGTATGATAGTAGCTGCCGCCAGACAGGTACTGGAGAGAGATCTGGGAAAGAGGCAATGAATTTGTTAGAATCAGAAGATTTGAGGGGGAAAACAATAAAAATGCCCTCATTTCAATATGAGTGGTCTTTGAAACTTGATTAAAATAACCCAGCAAGTAGACCGGATTTAATTCCTGCTGAAAAATGCAGCTTGAAATGGTTTTACTTGGTATCAAGCTGGTTTTTAACGATCATTCTGATGCCAACCTGCCCTCTTTGTCAAGATGTTAGTGCAACAGCAACTAACCTTCAACTATATTAAGAAAAATATCTTGACCACCTTAACCTTGTACAACCATATCCATTTAGAGGTGGAGAAACACCAAAACAGCTTATTTATTGCGTTATTGTTAAGATGTTTTACCTGCCAAGGCCAAGAGTTGGGTCTTGCCACCTCTCCACCAACGACCCTCTCCTCAGGGGCCTCCTCCAGATATCTGGGCTCAGCCAGCGCTGGATACAAAAAACACACTTAGACATGCTCATAGTTTGAGTTCATATAGACTCAATTTTTAAAGTTCTGAGTATTGCATGCATTTGTTAAATTAGCAAACTCTAAGCTAAATGCAATTGATTCTCTCAATAGAAACAGACAAATGTCTTACCCAGGGCGACCAGCACGCTCAACAACAGGATCCTCAGCATGTTTGCAGTCTGTTTGGATGTTCTGCACTCTGAACACTCCTGTCATCCGTATATATGTGCCCGCAGAAGTTCACAGAACAGGTGTTTTCTCATGGCTGATGCCCACAGGTGTGTGAATCCCACAGATTTCACCACTGCCAAGGTCAATGTGCCAGTTGCAGAATAAACTTTTTTATCTAGCTTGACACAAATGCTTGACCTGTATTAACTTTGAGTTAGTTCATTTCAGTATTACTCTTGTGCTTCTTATATAAAGTTCCTGCACAGTATAATTGAAAGTGCTCATTTTAATGTTTTTTTTAAGTTTTAACAAAAGTTGTAAAAAAAATTTTGCAATTTTATTTTTAATATATATATTTTTTTTCATTAGTTCTTTTTGTGTATTATGTTTTACTTTTTGTTAATAGTCCATAAACTCTTTTTATGAACATGACAATCGGTTTATTAATTTTAAATTATATTATATTGGCATAAGGATTTTTTTTTTAGTTAAGTATGTTTAAGGTAGGTTCATACACACACACACACACACACACACATACATACATACACAAACAATTTGTTACAAATGATTTGTTTTGAAGTAGTTATGCTATGAGATATCATATAGGATATATCTTATGTACTATAATTGTGTAATTTTGTAGCATGGGACAGTTTAAAATATTTAATAATAACATCTAAATAAGCTGTTTAAGTGAATTACTTTTTATTACTTAACTAGTTTCAATTTATGCTGACAGTTTTTTCCTTTGTGAATTGTAGGGAGTGTGTTTGGAGGTTCGCTGCTGATATTGATAAGGAAACGGTGGCCTCAGCATGATAAGACGTATATTTGGCATTTCCAGGAGTTTCCAGGAGTCACAAAACATGTCACCTGTTGTAGAGCAATGGATTATTTATTCAACCCTAAACTTTAATATTTGATGTAGAGCACATAGATCTTACAACTCAGGTGACTAAAGAGACCTCATATGTTACAAGACCACTAAAAATATGTTTACTATACAGTGACAACACAGATACTGTGATTAACTCTTATTGTAACTAAATTACTCCTACTGTCAAAGTAACTTCAACTGCTTGATTGGGTTTCATTGACAGTTTTTTTGCAGAACACTAGAGGGAGGCAGTGCACAGCATACTGAAACCTGCATACTGAACTTATTCTTTTCTGGAAACTTCCATTGGTGTGGCTCAGAGCCTTCTTTTACCTTCTATTCTTTTTCACTGTTGAAGCAAACATCATATAGATAGATATGTATGAATGGATAGATGGATAGATCTACGTACACAGGTAATTTATTCGCTACACTCTGTGCCATACAGTGTTTTGAGGAGTTGCTGACCACCGATGCTGACCTCAATGTGATGACGTGACCTTTCACTATGACTAAAAACATTTATTCTTCTCACCTCTTTTCAAAGGTCACATGCTGGTCACTGAGGTGCCTTCAAGGAAATCACATCCCATTTAAATCTGGGGGAAATCTGAGCAGGTCTGACTGAATTGTTTTTCTTATCTTGAACACATGTTTCTCTTACCGTATTTTTGTAGATTTTGCAAGATGAATGTCAATTGATTCTGTGGCATTTTTTCAAGTAAATTGTTTGTAAAGATTATTTAAGGAGAGACACTGCAGGCAAAACACTGTTTTTTCATGCACCTGTCAATTTTGAGGTTTTGGGCTTTTTGGCTTTTCATAAAGTGTTGATAAAGACTAGTG